AGAACTGAAACATTTGGGACCTTGGATTTCTGGGCGAGGGATGCCCAGACTGTTTACCCTCTGCTTGCACCACATTCACTTGCAACAGCCACAATAGACCTTTCTTGCACAGAAGACACTGTCCTCAAATGTCTTCGTGACAGTTGTTCCAAAATCTCTGCTCTGTATTTCTCCCTAAAACGACTCACCTTCCATCTTGCTGTTCTCCACATTTACCTTGTCTCGGGGTTGCCAGCTTGGGAGCTTCACCTGTATGCTTGGCCATTCCTCCTCAGAGGCTTGCACACTGTTTGCAGCTCAGTCAGCCTCTTGCCGAGGAAATGCTTGCCATCTTTCAGGTTTCCGCGGCCAGGAGTGCGTGAGCTGGTAGGGGATCAGATTATTGCCCGTGTTGCCAGTCCTAGCATGTGACACCCTCCTTTGCCTTCTAGTTTTTCACATGTTGAAAGGGGAAGAAGAAAAAAAGAACTAAAAATTCTGACAGCTTTAGGTTTTCCTGGATGAGTGTTTAAGGCTACTTGGGCATTTCCTGTAGTTATCTATTCACATACAGTGATGGTGGTGAACCAGGAGCCTTGGGAAATACCTCAAGCTCCAACAAGATAAGCAGGCATATGTTTTGGGGGACCACATCACCTGGATCCTGCTACCTAGGACCCCTCTGGAAGAAACTGTTGTCTCTACTCAGTTGTAGTCACAAGATACTTCAGAAAATCTCACCCAGCCATCATTGGCTGACACCTGCCCGGGGTCCCCCTCCCTCATCCCCAGGAGAGCTGCTTTTAGCTGTTGAGCTCTGCCTGCTGTTTCTTCTCTTTGCCCTTAGCAACACTGATGCTGCTGTTGGCTTCTTTCCACTCAGATTTTTTGGTTACCTTTGTTCCTAGTTGTCATCTGTCAAACTGTTTGCCTGCTTAGAGCCATGGCATATAGTGACTTCTCAGATAGTGTCCATTTCCATTGAGAGAATAGTGACTTGTGGCTTTGAGTCATTTAATTAATTAACATCAACTTCAAAGAAGGAAACAGCCTAGACCTTGCAAATCACCAGGAACACAGAGCGGTGAAAACATTGCAGGGGGTGGGGGGTGTTTGAGCAGATGAAGTACAAAAAGTTCCTTTCCAGATGAATGAATAAGAACATTGGCCTTCTTGCACAGATGAGGAAGCTTAGAGACTGGTTTGAGTGGAGACTGGATCCTAGACATATTTTACCATTATGGGGGTATAATTGTGCCGCTGCTTGGAGCAGTGTTTAAAAATACACAGAACAACAGACTCCTGTACTTTATGCAGGGCAGCACTTTGCCTCAGTTTCCAAGTTTCTGGTCCAGGGGTTCTTTGGAACATTCCCTCCACACCAAAGTCACTCACTGCTAGTTTGGTTGTCCTTGAATCAGTTTGATCATGGCATTGATCCCATTGTAAGAATACAGGCCAGTGGATTTTGATGAACATACCACGGAACAGATATCACTATGGTCTGTGTGTAGAGCATTCCCACCCCTCATAAGTTCCTTCACTCCCACTTGAAACCCACGAGTGTGTCCACTCCCAGCCCAAACAGCTATCAGTGGTTCTGTCATCACAGGGTTACCTCTCGGAACATCCCATGGATGGCATCTGTCTCTGCTTCGTTCTTCTGTAACCAGAAGTACCAGTTAATGTTCACTTGCAGTAGCTAGTGTAACAGTGTCTCTCCCTACTAGTGACTTAATATTTCCTGTAGGGAAAAGGGACCAGTCAAAGAAACACACCCTGAGCAAAGCCAAAGAAACACACTTTGGCCCTGCAACCAGAACCAAAGAAATATACCCTGACCCTAAAACCAGTGCCAAAGGAACACACTTTGTCCCTGGAATCAGAGTCAGTGAAAGAAATGTACCCTGGCCCTAAAATTGGAGCCAAAAGGCTAAAAAGGACCAGAGAAAGAAACATGTTGGCCCTGAAACCAGAGCCAAATCTGACCCTAATCCTGTGTAAAAAAGTAACCAATCCCGGAGCAGAGCTCTAGCCAATCTGAGCTCAGCACTGAAATAGGACCAATCCCTACTCTGGAAAAACTTCCCCAACCCCAAGAATCCCTATATAAACCCTGTGTATGTTCAGCTTGTCTGGTCCAGCTGCCTTCCAATAAACCCCTTTGGATGAGCTTTGGGTGAAGATCTTCTTTTGCGGCGGCGACAGAGCAGAGGTGACCCTGGGCAGAGCAGAGGGAGCTGTAACACTTGCCTGGGAAACCTTCCTTGGCAGAGCCCAGTTGTTACACTCTGCTCCCGGCTCCCCGCTCTCCGCTCTCCAGGATCAGAGCTGAACTGTAGCAACTTTGCCCGAGAAACCTCCTGCCTAGCAAAACTGCTACACTAGGCGAACATCCCCAGCTGGAAGACCCTGTCCTGCTGGAGCCGAGCTGATACACCAGAGAAGCCTTTCTCTGAGGCAAGGCTGTAAGCTGCTAAGCTTACTGCAACCTGTGGTGGTCATTGGCTCCCGAGCTCCAGGATACCTTTCCACCTGAGCTGTGTAACACTGAGTATTCTGTGACTCCCGAGTGCCAGGATACCTGACCCACTCCTGTTCCATCCTGTCCCGACCCATCCTGAAATGCTTACATTTCCTACTTCTGTAGTTGTTTCTAATCATTTTTAAACAAGGATTGTGGGTTCAGTTGCCCCTGAAATCCATTGTTTCTGAAATTCCTGCATGCTAGAGTATTGAGATTTTGTTCAGGAAGCATTTTAGATTTATAGCTTGCATTGTAGAATATTATTACTCAGTTTTACTATATATTCTTGGCCAAGAGCATAGCATATGGTTATTACATCATTACTTTTGGAAACTTTTTCTGCTTGTATTTATTTGCCTTGAAATTTCCTTTAAACTTGTGAGGCCAAAAGCTGGATATCTTCTGCCTTGCGCTTTAGAATTTCCATGGGAGCCATTTAGTCAGTCCACCTGGCCCAAGAAGAGGCATGGCTTGTCACTGTTTCGTCTCAATGCTGTTGACTTCGATCATCATTAATATTTAGTTCATGTGTTATTGGCGGTTAGCAGACGCTATCGATAACCATACACACTGAAACCTCTGCTTCTTTTTGTTGCCTGGGGTCTAAAGTCTCCTGTTGCAACACAAGCTTGGAACAGGTCACTACAGAAGCAAAATACCATCTTCCTGTCACCCACCAATGCCAAGGCAAAAAGAGTTATGTAGATTATTGATTAGTGATATTTAGAATCTTTGTGGTTTGTTGATTTTCTCAACTGTAATTAAAAATTTTTCTCATATGTTGTATCCCAACTGCAGTTCTCCTTCCTTCAGTCTCTCACTCCCCCCCAACCTTCCCTCTCCCCCAGACCTACCTCCCTCCACCTCCCCTAAGAAGAGAACAAGGCTTCCCAGGGACATCAATCAAATTCCGCATAATGTAAGACCAAACTGTCACATCAAGGCTGGACGAGGCAACCCAGTAGTAGGAAAAGGGCTCCATATTTAGGCAAAAGAGTCAGAGACTCCCTCCCCTGATCCCATTGTTAGGAGTGCCACAGGAACACCAAGCTACTCAGCCTTAGCATAAACGCAGAGAACCTAGGTTAGAGCACTGCAGGCTCCCCAATCTCAGCTATAACTTCTTAGAGTGTTCATGACCTTTGGAAATGTGTTTACTCTCTTGCTCCTTTGCTGTGTGGGAATATCATCAGGACAGTTACCACTTTAAATCAGACACCCAATTTTCTAGGACCCTTGCTTTACTTCACTGAGTCAATCTAAGATCTGTGGTGATGGTTTCATGAACTGCAAGTGGACCAAAAATGGCTGACCTTTCTTGTGTGGGTGTGGATTTGCCATGTGGTCTACTGGAAGCTGATCTTCACTCTGCATCACTGGAAGGCTAAGGGGGGGGGGGCAGAGCCCCTTGGAACTCCGGGTGTTGGCATGAGTTCTGGAGAAGACCTTATCTGGATAAGTCCTGTGTACATGCATATACCTGAGTTTTTGTTTGGTCTGGAATTTGTTGTGACTAATACAAGAGACTCTTGCTATTATCAAACACATTTTCATTTTACTGTGTGGTTTGCTTATGGCTTTCTCTTCTGCAAATAGAAATGTTAGACTAAGGTCTTTTTAAGTTTTTATCTAAACTTAATAGAAACAAGCAAGCATAGTTTGTATTTCAGGACTGGATAAAGACTCACTGAACTCTCAGAGAGGATGGCTTGTTTTGTCTGTCTGTGAAATGTCCTCCTGGTGGGCTTTTTTTTGTCTTTTTGAGACAGGGTTTCTCTGTATTGTTTTGGAGGTTGTCCTGGAACTCACTCTGTAGACCAGGCTGGCCTCTAACTCACAGAGATCCGTCTGCCTCTGCCTCCCGAGTGCTGGGATTAAAGGCGTGCGCCACCACCACCCGGCTCTGGTGGGCTTATTGAATGGTGAGGTCCCAGATGGCTGGAGAGTCTGATCCTTCTTGCTATATTGAAGACTTGAAATTAATTTGCTGCTGAATTGATTTGTAAATGACAATTGCCTTATAAAAACTTTAACCTTAGTTTACTTTTTCCCAATAGTTCTAAAATCGGAGCTAATGGGATTTAATTCACTGAGCTTTGGTTTCATATTTGTCTTACACCTCATTCATAAAAAGTCAGGTCGGTAAAATAATTTGCCTTTGTATATTAGCTGTCTTTTATTAAGCATGATAATAGCTTTAAAACATAAAAGCATAGAGATCCAGTGCTTTCATGTCTTGAAAGGCATTTTTTGAGTTGGTGATACTTTTGTTGCTGCTGTTTTGAGACAGGATCTTTCTGTGTAACCCTGGCTGTTTGGGAGCACTCCGTGTAGACCGGGCTGGACCCTGACTAGTTGTTTATTTCTGTGTTGCATCTCCCCCAGTTATACAGGGAACTAACGCAAACAGGGAGGAGAGTGCCGTCTTAGCTCACGACAGCCTGGCAGAGCTGATGTTCTTTGTAAGAGTTTCTTTCTGTGTTGTATTTTGCAGGTGGGGAGTTTCAAGCGAGAAATGACCTTCACATTTCAGTCGGAGGACTTAAAGCATGACTCCAGTAAGAAGCCATCTCATCACATGTTCCCACTGGCCATGGAGGAAGACATGAAAGCAGTGGACACCAAAAAAGCCAACCGGATCCTTGACCAAGAAAAAGAAAACACTCGATCCATTTGTCTCCTTGAGCAAAAGCGAAAAGTGGTTTCCTCTAATATCGATGTCCCTCCAGCGAGGTAAGGGGGCGTCTCATGTGGTTCACTACTGCTGCAGGAAATGGGTGGAGGGCAGGCCCACCCATCTTGTCTGTTCACAGGGAATAGACTTAGCAAGTTGTCTGTTAGGTTCTCTTTTTCTTCTGTGATACAGAACTGACATTGAAGCTGCCCTAGTTGAAACTGTTGTAGCCGTAGAAAAACGTGACTGCGTTTAATTAATGCAAAAACATTAATGGAATGAAACATACTGTGTGAGCTTTGTGGCACTTGATGGCAAGTATGCTCAGACCCTAGGTAAGGAGTTGCCAAATTATGTTTGTACGCTAAATTTAGCCTCTTTTTGTGTGGACCGTGAGATGAGAGAAGTGTAACAATTAAACAGAAAGGGGTGACTTCATGACACAGGCCATTGGTGACCTGCAAAGTCTTCAGTGTATAAACAGTGTTCAGTGATATCTAGTTGGTGTAATGTATGTCTTCTAAGATTCATCTCTGCAAGGGAAATGGCTCAGGGGGTGGAGCACACCCTGAAAGCTTAAGGACCTCAGTTCCACCCCCTGAGAGCCCATGCAAAGTTGGATGCAGTATTGTGCACGTCTGCAATCCCAGTTCTTCTGCAGGGTGGTTGAGAGTTGCCAGAAGTTCACGGGCAGCTAGCACGGTATGTGTATCGCCGAACATCTGAGAAACCTTGTTTTAGATGAGGTAGAAGGTGAGGCCCAACACTCAGGTTGTATTCTGATGTTCATATGCACTCAGCGGGCCACACGTACACACACATACACTTGCATGATCTATTTATATTAAAACATGGTGGAGACGGTTTGTCATGTTATAATTTTCTTTCAACTTTTTAAAAATTCTTCTCTCTCACCCTATATCCTGACCACGGTTTCTCCTCCCTCCATTCCTCCCAGTACCCCCTCGCTTCTTTCTTTCAGGTCTTAACCGAGTGGTACTGAGGGATATTCCTATGGCAGAACGGAAGCAGCGTAGAACATATCTGCCCAGCCTGTCATCCCTCCTTCTGATTGTGTATGCAGCCTTATGTGCAAAGCCCTGCCCCTGTCCCCCCCATCTCCTCCATACCCCGCACCTCCCCACCCCCACCCCAGTCACAGGGCTTGAAGTCCTCTTTGTTCATCCTCTGTCCCCAGACTGTAACAATGCCGAGTGTCCTTCTAGAGGGTCTGTGAGCACGTGTCAGCTGAGGAAAGAGTGGGAGGGCTCTATCTGCCTGACAGGTTGCTTATTTTTTAACACGTGCACTCCGTTTTGATGCCAGAAGTGATTATCTTGAAACTTTATAAGCAATCACTTGAGAAGCCTTGCATTTATTCACATGATTTCTGACAGCTCATGAGGAAAACAGTACCTGTGGGCCAGGAATGAATGGCCCTTCCCCACCTGCTCACGTTTTGTAATTAGCATTTCCATTGTTTTCTGTATTAAATAGAGGGCATATCTCCTCTAGGAAATTACATGTTACTCTATCCGGCTGCCACACCATCAGACTTTCTAAGATTATAGGCCTTTTTGTTTTCTTCAACCTCTAATTGCCAATTTTGTATATCTCTTACTTCTGTTCAGATATTTGTTAGTATTTGCTCTTCTATGATTTTTGTATAAAGTATTTAATTAAGCTATTAAGGATTAGCTTTTACTGTGGCTTCATTGTGCAATGTTTTATAGGCCCTGGAGCAAGCAGGTAGACACATTAATTCGTATGCGTTTTGGCTGACTCATTTGATAAATTACGTGCCAGTGACTTGAAATGAGAAGAATTGCGCTTTCATGTTCTTCCCAGGCCCGTCAGAAGTACAGTGTCTGGAGTTCAGGGGTGACTTGGAGTTGTATAGGAGCCACCTTACACACCATTGCCCATGGGGTCTTTCGTATGTAATAAAAGATCTGGAATTATTTACCTCATATTCTCATAGATTGTTGTAAGGTGTATCCTTACACAAGGTCTCATGTAGCCCAGGCTGGCCTAAAACTCACTGTATGGCCAAGTATGATCGTGAGCTTCTGGCCGCCGTGCCTTCCCCTCCTAAGCCCAGACTGTAGTATGTGCCGCCATGCCCAGTTCACGCCGTGCTGGCAAGGAACCCAGTGTGTGCCAGGCAGACATACTGCCGACCGAACCACACACATCCCCAGCGCTGTGTGTTTGCTCCTTAACCTGATTTCACCTCTAGTACCTTTGAAAAGTAGGTAAGGAGATTCTTTTTGCTGTTCTTTTTGCCAATGCTGGTCTACAGAATGTTTCACTCTTTGTAGTGACTACATGTACACAGAAGCTCAGCCAGTATTACTGTTAGCTTTTAAACAATAGGGAGAGAAGTAATTGGGTTTTAAATCATCAATATGTGAAAAAACCCTCCCCACTGACAAGGTATAATTTAGATGAATTAATCTGCTATGAGAAGTGCTATTTAAAGTGTCATAGTTTGGGGTCTCCGCTAATACACTTGTTTTCATTGTTGCGGCAATCATCATAAACATGCTAACACTTGGTGAAACAAATTGCTTTTTTAATTAAATAGTCACGAAGGAATCAAGTTATGCAGGATAATGTAATTCTCAAACAGTTTCTTCTGTTTGTTTACAGTCATTAGGTTATTTAGTAAATGCTAACTTTTGACTAAGGAGATTGATATTGTAAGGAAACTTTCAATCACATCGTATAAAGGAACAAGGTTTTTCTTTCTGCTTACTAGAAGGAAATATAATTACAGCTGTCAGAAATATCTGTTGATGCTTGAGTAAACCTGGAGTATATTGAAATGTATTAGAATAAAGAAGTCTATATCTGTCATTAAATGTGACCTTTAATTAATGTGTCTGTGTGTGTGTAATCTATACGAATGCCTGACTACACAGTTTACTACAAGTCTTTCTCCTAATTCGAGACTTTGTGGTTTGGATACTCCTTAGAGGTAGCGATTGGTTCAGGCTTTTAGTATCCCTGGTGCAGAGCTCCTGGGCAAGTAAGATTACCGGTAGTGTTTCTATTTAATATTTTCTGTGTTCTTCAACTTTCTATAGTTTATAAAAAGGGAACTTGAAGTTTATTCCCCGTAGTTCATACCATGAAAGCAGTAGGTGAACTGTTTTTCCGTATCTCTAGGGAGGCCTGTGATTCCTGTCCAACCTTGATCTCTGTGACCACTGTTGAATTTTCTGATTTTGTGTCTCGCCTCCATCAGCAGGTGTCTACTGAGTCCCTGCTACTAGTAACCCAGAGCTTACAATTAAAGCATGAATGGGAGAGCTGCTCCCCTTCCAAAGCTCATAAGGCAGTCAGACAGATGGACACATAAATAGCTAAGTCCAAGAAACTGTTTGGTATTGTCTGCCTTCTCATCAGAACTGGGTGAATTTATAACTAAAGGAAAGGCTTTAACATTAGGAGAGTGATTAATTTGGTATACCTATTTAAAGTCTGCTTTTCTATTATTAGTAACCCCTTGACGATAAAGACGAATGGAACGGAGAAGGAAAAACTTCAAACCTGTGGTCTGTTTTACAAACTTTTGCAAAATGCCAGTTTCCTGAGACATGTTTGAAGGTTTCTGGTATCAGAAAGTTTATTACCCCAGCTGTGCTAAGCTTGGCAGGAGCCAGGCAGAATTAAGCACAGGGGCAGTTTACTAGGGGAAATGCCTGTGGAAAGGTGGGGAGCAGGACAGGGCCAGGCTGAGCCAGCAGGGAAGGGGAGCAGGAAGGGTGGCGGGTGGCTGGGCGTGTGCTAGCGGCCTCACTGCCCATTAGGAGGACTGCCTTGTGTCTCTGCTGTGTCCTGATCTCCCCTCCGAGCAGCTTGTGATGCTTGGGACCTAGGCGGGTACAGTAGATGCTTTTGGAGCCCAGCTGTGCTCCTGGGTCAGTCATTGCTGTTCTCATGGCTGCCTCTCCTGCCTGGAACACTGGCCTAGTGTGCTCTGCGGTGCAGGCTGGAGTGGGGGCTGGTTTCTGGCAGCCTGGACTGTCAATGCAGGCCGTTCACAGCCTTTCTTATTCTAGAGAACCAAGCTTCGTATGAACAAAAGCAGCAACGGCTGCTGGTCCAAGCATCCCCAGAGTCATGTTTGGGTCACTAGAGGAAAATCATCTCCATTCTGAGCCACCTCGAGTGGACAAAGATGTGATAGGAGAGCCCCTTGCTGTGGGACCTGACCAGTGTGGCCTGACCGGTTTCAGGAAAAAGCTGTATTTCTTGTGGGGGGGGGCAATAAGAACTGTTCGATTTGATTGAGAACTATAGTACTCTGAGTGATTGTCATTATCCCACGTTTTTCAGTGAATAAAACTAAACCCGAGAGAGTGAGAGCAGGTGGGAAAGCATGAGTCGATGCTACCTGTGCAGATGCCAGTCCCGGAAGGACCGATGACTCCAAAGCCGTACTCACTTAGTAGGTTCACGTGCCTCGTAACGAAAACCAAGACGAGGCCTCTTACAAAAGCAGTTGTGAATTGAGAACAAGGAATTAGCTAATTTAAGTGTGAACCCTTAAATACGTTCAAGCTTTCAGAGAAAATGCAAGCTTCATTGATCTTTTTGGAAAGTTAGAGTGTAGACAGGAATTTGGTAGTCATGTTCTGAGGTTTCATTTACAGCAGCACTTTATATTTTGAATGTGAAATAACGGCCATTCTGTGGATGTGACACATTTTCTTTGTCCCTCATCAGTTGATGGGCTCTTGAGACTGGAGAGTCAGGAACGTAATCATATTGAGTTATAATGGTTGTGTGACATTTTTAAGTGATCAAAAAGATTTTGTAGAGGACAGTGTTAGGCATTCATTAGGAAAGGTCACTTTGGTTGTGTAGAAGGGGTTAAGCAGGACAGGCATGGACACACACAGGGAGACAATTCAGGATAGCATTGCATTAATACAAGAAGGTGTCGTGGGAGTTAGAGCTGAAGTAGAAAGAGTTCAGAGGGAAGATATGGACAGCTGAGCTATAGTGGGAAGTGAAGTAGATGGGAGGCTTCTAGGTTGTGAGCGTAGAA